GGTTATAATCCCAGGAGACTAAGAATGCGCGCTCTCTCTCTCTGTCTCTGTCTCTCTCTGTCTCTCTGTCTCTCTCAGAGACCCCCACTCACCCTTTTGATCTTTCTCTCTTTCACTGGGGAGCACAGGACCATGCAGGTCTCGTGGCCACCTGGGGCCCACAGAAGACTGAGCGGCTCCAAAGAAACATGAAGCAGAAACTCTGGGCCAAGCCTTTTCCTTGGCCTTGTTGAAGAAGAGATTGGACCTGTTCCATGGCAGGATGGAGGGAGATGAAACATTGGAAGTGCAGGGGCAGATTTCCCTAATACATCTTGCCAGGAGACCACAATCTCCTGTGTGTGGATCCTTGAAATGCTTTTTTCGAGATCTCATGAAAGAGCTTGTTTTCCACCGACTACAGTCACAACAGAAGGAGTACCCACCTCCTCCCCTGTGGGAGAATCATAATTTTCTTATTAAGCTTCCAATCGTATTTCTTGCAAGTCTCCCCGTTGCCAGGGATCCCTAGTGTTTCTGGTCATTTAGCTCCATTCTCATCCGTCTTCTCTCTTGCTTTGTTGGCCTTTCAGGACAATGCTTCCCAATATAATATTCCTCACCCCGCCTTTCAAACTAAGGCCTCTTGTTTGAATCAGCTCAAAGGTTGTGGGTTCTGCAAATAAGAAAAATCTTTCTTCAAAGAATTTACAAACGTTCCCAGGACTCGGTCCCTAACAGTAAATATATCCAAGGATCTTACAAAGCAGAGGAACAAAAGATTAGCCCAGCTTCATTTTACAGTTGGGAGAGTCAGGAAACCCAAATGAGCAGCAAAGCTCCGAGTGTTGACCCAGCTCCACATTCAGGGCATCGTTTGCAGTTAAACTGCTTGAATGTCAAAGGCATTGTTGGTTGAGTGAGGGAGACCTTTATAGTGGAAATAAGAGAGCTGGCTGTTGACAAACGGAGGAAGTAATAATACACTTTTTAAAATATGTAGTCAAATACCACATGATTTCACGTATATGTGGACTCTAAAGAACAATATAAACAAACAAAGAAAACAGAAACAGACTCAGATGCAGAGAACAAACTAATGGTTACCAAAGGGGAGGAGGTTTGGGGGACAAGGTGAAAAGGTGAAGGAATTGAGAAGTACAGATTGGAAGTTACAGAATGGTCATGAGGATACACAGTACAGCATAGAAAATATAGTGGATGATATTGTAATAAGTGTGTGTGATGCCTGTTGGGTGTTGGAAATAGCAGGGGGAACCCTTTGTAAAGTATATGAGTGGCTAACCACACTATGCTGTACAACAGAAACTAATACAAAATATTAAATGTAAACTGTCATGTCAATTTTTTTTCAAATTAAACAAAAAATCTTTAAATAAAAATATACAGTGATAATACCGATTCATAGTTATTCAAAGACACGCACTCCACCGAGGGTGACCTTGGAGCGAGGACTATACTATTTGCCAGGAAGGGGTAGGTCAGCAGGCACACTCCATAACCAGCCTTGTTCCCCCACCCCTCCCGGCGCCCTTACAAGAGTAACGAGTAACACCAGCCATGCCGCAGCACTTGGACCCACCACAGCCTCCGGGGCTGGAAGAGCTTCTCTCCCTTCGACTCCCATTTCAGGATTAGCTGTGGCTTGGTCCACCGCCAGCACTGTGAGGTTACTAAGAAGCCTGATGTGTGTCATCTGAGACAGCTATGAGTCTGGATTTTCTCCTTGTGTTTTGGTGTCTGAGAAGGCACCCTCAGCAAAAAATTGGAGGGAAATGTGGGGACCTATGAATTTAGAAAAAAAAAGAAAGTCATATGTTTAGCGTTTTGTCTGTGGCAGTACCCAGACTTGCCCCTATATAATTACCATCTAATTGTCAACATTGACATTTACATTTGAATGAAATCCACAGTGCAATCTTCTGTTTTTAAAAGGAATTAGGAAGAAAATACAATGGCAATTCAGTTCCGGATTTTTTACATCACCTTGGTTGATCAGAAGTCTAATGTAGGAGAGTTCTGAACAAAGTAGCACTTTCATAGGTTGCTTTATTAAGGAATGGCATGAAGGAAAATTTAGCACTTAAGATGTGAATTTGAATGCAGACATGGTTTCAGTCTGGATAAAGTGCTGCTGACAAATGATTCCATTAACTGAACACCTAAAAAGGACCATTTGACAAGGAGAGCAAATGCTCCAACCCCGTGCCAGGGCTGCTGACACTGAACTCTTGCAAACTGGGTGCACTGGAATGAGGTATCAAGACGTGGCAAGAATTCTAGTTCTCAATATACAAAGCAGCCAAAACAGCTGATTTTTTAAAAGTCTATTTGGTGTCAATGTAACAAATGTCTAAACCTGTACAGAATTTCTATGAGATTTTTTTTTATTTTTTTTAGCCAAACTGATGACAATTGCCAGGAAGCAACATCGTAGTGTATTGACCAAATTCTCGAGAATGGCAGTTCTGCAGCTCATTTTGTACATGAGCGTCAAAGGCAGAGAGGTGGGAAAGGTTGCATGAAATACATTGGTGGTAGAGTAAGGGGATGGGAGAAACCAAACGGAGGAAATCTCTGGGATTGGATAAAAATATAAAATGGAGCCCTGGCCGGTTTGCTCAGCGGTTAGAGCATTGGCCTGTGGTCCAGAGAGACCCGGGTTGGGTTCCGGCTAAGGGCATGTACCTTGGTTGCAGTTTGTCCCCGGCCCTGGTTGGGTCATGTGGGTGGCAGCCACTCGATGTATCTCTTTCACATTGATGTTTCTCTCTCTCTCTCTTCCTCTCTCTCCCTCGGGTGAAGATAAAAAAAATTTATATATATATATGATAGAGAGCCCTGGCCAGTGTGGTTCAGCAGTTAGAGTGTAGGCCCCAGGCACCAAAGGGTCATGGGTTCAATTCCCAGTCAAAGCATACACCTGGATTGCGGGTTTCATCCCCAGCCCTGGTCAGGGATGCATGCAAGAGGCAACCCATTGATGTCTCTCTCACATCGATACTTCTCTATCTTTTCCCCTCTTCCCCTTCCCCCTTCCTTCCTCCCTCCCTTCTGTTCTCTCTCTAAAAAAAAAAAAAAGGCAATAAAAAAAATATCCCCAGGTGAGGATTAACAAAAAATAAGTTAAAATAATGGTAATACAGCAAAGAGACACATACTTCTTTTACATCAGTGGATACAGGGTTGTTAATAACATTTACAGCACCTAGAGTTGGTATTTGGCAACAAGAGGACAATGAGGATTTCTGTGGTCTGGTGCTATGGTGGGGCGGTTGTGCCCTGAGGGGTCTGGAAGAAGAGTTGACTCGACATTTCAAAACTATGTTATCTTAGATGCAAAAAGACAATAGACAGGCTCACTCAAGGTAAAAATTAACCTTTGTCACGGAAGCAACGGGCCTTGGACCCAGACCTCCAATGAGCTTGTCAGGTTTAGTATGTGGCCACTTTTTCATCCATATTGGGAAATTTTTAAACAGGGCTGCACTAGACAAGAGTATTGAATCAGCAAAACTTACTAATGTTAGAGCCTCTTCTATGCCCTTGGCTCTTCTCCATTCCATGACCATCCAGGTGCCTGCAACTCTGCACCTCTCAGTGACAATCACTTGCTCACAAGGAGGGTCCAATATTAATCATTTATACCTTTCTTCATGTGGATTTAAGTCAATGTGTTATTTCTCTAAGAGGTTTTCTCTTTAAGCCTTACTTTGATTTATGGGATGTTAAAGAGGAAAAAGTATATTTGGCACCTTTTTGGTACCCTAAATCTTTACCTGTGGAAATTTTAGTCTTGTTTTGTTCTTTTGGAGAAAAAAAGATCCCCATTTGATGTACAGGGCGAGAAGGGTGTCTGGACTCAACCCAGACAGATATGTTTATTCATCTACTCACCCCAATTAAACCTTAATAAACTGTATTTTGAAAAGAAGGAACACAGCCTGGCCAGTGTAGCTCAGTGGTTGAGCATCAACCCATGCACCAAGAGGTTGCCAGTTTGATTCCCCATCAGGGCACATGCCCAGGCTGTGGGCTGATCCCCAGTGAGGGGCATGCAGGAGGCGGCCAATCAATGTTCTCTCTCATTGATGTTTCTATCTCTCTCTTCCTCTCCCCTCCTCTCTCTCTAAAGTAAACAAAGAAAACTATATTAAAAAAAGAAGAAGAAGGAACACAGAAGAAGCCTGGGAAATCTGAGATGTATAACAATAAATTGGTATAGAAAACTGAAATTAAATAGCCAGTGGAGCTTGTGCCTGTCCATCAGCCTGTGTGCCAAGGGGGAGGTGGTAGGCTGGAGGGGGTGGTGCATATGCACCATGTCTTCCCCTCATCACCTGTATCTTCAGTACTTTCCCTCGCAGTCCCAGGATAGGCCAAATCAACTGTGATATACTCTGAAACTGACCAACTCTGGGAAGGGAGGGGCATCCTTTCCCATCTCAGTTCCCATGACTACTTCGATAAGATCTTCTTGTCATACTTTAAAATGTTAATAAATTAAGACTCATAAATAAATTCAAAACCTTGTTTAATTAAATTATTTTGGTCTCCTTGCTCACCACCAGTTTTTAAAAAGTGGTAAAAAGAATCATCAGAGACTCATTTCCCCTACCAACTCTCTTAGTACTGAAGAGTACTAAATCAGTAAAGGCACCTTAACAGAAAGAGAGAGAGAGACAGAGAGAGAGAGAGAGAGAGAGAGAGAGAGAGAGGAAGGGAAGGACCTAGAGATTATGAACAATAATCATAATTCAACCCTGTTGAATCTGCCAGGCAGATTACAAAATGCTTCAGTGTTACAGTATTTTAGCTGCTGAATATAGTCAAGAGATTGTATTCACAGTTAAATGTTATTGGTCATTTTTAAATTCCTCCTGAAAGGTGTTAAATTTAATATGCTAAAGATGCTGTTCTTTGGAAACACATGACCCACAGTTTCTTGGCTTCCTACACTGATAGAAAAAAGACTTAGTCATCATCCAGTGTCACAACAAGGGTGACTCACAGAGTGAGGAGGAAACCGGAGGCCTCCTTACATATGTAGGTACTCAGAGCACCTCCACCTCAAGAGGACCGTCAAGGTTGGGTTGAACAACTCTTCCTTCCCCAGCACAGAGGACAGATCACAATCAACCCAGCAAGTCCACAGCAGCCTCCACATCCCAGTTCATTTCTAAAGAGGTAACAGATGGCTCAGTTTTGTCCTTTATTCCTTCATTGCTCATGTCATTCTTCAAACTGACTTTGATTTTCTTCACTTTTACAGAATTAATCAAGGTATCTTTAATGCTGTGGTCAATTATTGCTATTAAAAAAAAACCAAAAAACGTAATACGTTAGAAGGCAGTGATGGGCACCCAGTCCGTCTCACAGTAGAAGTGATCTCTGTGTCACCCAGGACCCTGCCTTGAACTCCGCAGGTCCCTCTTTGAATGTTTTTTAGCACCCTAGAGTTACAATTAAATTTATGTCTACTTCCCTAGTCAGTTTTGCTCAGTGGTTAGAGCATCGCCCCCAGACCAAAAAGTCTCGGGTTCGATTCTGTCAAGGGCATATACCTCGGTTGCAGTTTGGTCCCCAGTCCTGGCCCTGGTCGGGGTTGTGCAGAAGGTAACCAACTGATGTCTCTCTCTCACATCGATGTTTCTCTCTCTCCTCTCTCTCTCTCTTTCTCTCTCTCTCTCTCTCTTTCTCTCTCTCCCTCCCTCCCTCCCTCTGCCTCTATCTGAAGATAAATGGAAAAATATCCTTGGGTGAGGATTTAAAAAAATTTTTATGTGTGTTTGTTCTCTCTGTGACTATTCAATTCCATCTGTGAATCTTATAGTTAATTGGAAACGAGTGAGGAGGGGCTCCTAGAAGAGAAGGACTCTTAGCTGAGTTTCGTACTGGGACAACACATTTGCTTCCAGCTGCAAGGCTGATCTGCATCTACCTGCTTTACTAATATTAGCAGATGCCAGTGTAGCCAATGCACACATGCACACGATGCTGCATGGGAATGCCTGCCAGGTCAGAAGGACACAGGGAAATGCCTCCCAGTGCGCGCTGGGTTCCTGGACACGGGGCAATCAGCTGCTTCAGATTTCACTCTCCATTTCAGGATCCGGTGGTTGGTATTTTACCTGAAACACATTGATTGGGTTGAGGTCCCAGTTAAAGTGTGTTTTCACTTGGACTTCTTTTAAAGGAGAAAGTCAGTTTAGTGGTCTTGTTGCCACTTAATCCTGGCAGCCCTTGTTTAAGGCTTTATGATTCAAATGATGCTGCAGTACTTTCTCTCCATGGGCTGGTTTTAGCAGCTGGGGGAAGAGTTTCAATAAAACACATTTTTAGATTAAAAATCAATGTGGGGTTGTACAAATAGTTCCTGAAATGTTCTGTTACATTATTTGCTCAAAGGTAAGGCTTGTGCTTTATTGGTGTTAGTATCCTTTGGCATATATTAGGTGCTCTAAAAATGTCCTTGGCTACATGATGCATAAAACAAAATTGAAATGTTATACCATCTTTGCATTGTATTTTTGAGATTGAAAAACTGCCCAATTTTTAGAACAAACCTCAATCTTTAAATACAAGAAAAAATTATTATTACATATATTTCAAATGCAAAAAAAATGGGAATTGGTCTTAAAACTCTTATAACAAATTTCACTTTCTTAAGGTACCATCTTTAAAAACTCAGCTCTTTTCTTTTGCTTAAAGATAACAGTGATTGAAAGAAATATACTGAATATTTGAACACACTTTCTGCATCTGTATATAGCATTCTCTCTGTATTCTAAGCTTTTTGGAGCCTTATAACTATGAACTATCATAAAATACAATATATAATATCTTCCAGTTTGCACTTTTTAAATTTAGTAACCATAAATAAAGTAACCATGGCTTTGACAATAATTCTTACCCTGCCAATACTGTCAGGAGGCATACTGACAAAGTAATAAACCTTGGAGGGACTGGGAATAATTCATTAGTAATATGGGTATTATGGTGAATTCTGATTTAGAAGTTTTGAGAGGAGGCCAAAGAAAATCAGTTACTTTTATCCTTAGAATAAAAACGGCGAACATAAAGCCGGCAGGTCTTCCCTGCATTGGCAGCGGCCGCGCACCTCTGCGCACCTCTGCGCACCTCTGCGCGGAGACTGGATGCACCTGCAGAGCAGGTGCTCTTTGCCAGGACTCACCGTCCCGCCCCGCCGCGCAAAGGACCCCAGGTACATGCGCCGTGAGCCACCTTCTCCTGAAGGAAGCAGGGCGCAAGGGAAGGGACTGGGTGCAGGAGCTTCTTCATCCCATTGCGTGAGGGACTTTCATGTTCTGTGATGATGAATACCATCTCCACTGTTATGAGCAGCATCGTAATCATTATTACTGTGGTTGTCATCAGACCCGCAAAGGGCTGTTCGTTGCTTAATGTAAGCATATTCCGTGTAGAACCCCTGGCTCCATCTTACATTTTTCTTTAGATTTCTGGGTGCCTAACTTAAACTTTTATTTTTATTTTTCACAGAAACATAATTCATGAGTCATTTAGTTTGTGTCATTTGGCCCAAATTTGGTTTTTATTCAATAAAAGTACAGCAGAAACCTGTGGAAATGACATTTGGGTTTAAAGAAAAAAACAGAATTTTTTACTTCAATGAAAAGGTCAACACAAAAATGAATTCAGTGTAAGTTAACCAGGTTTACAATATTTAAATGTACAAGAAGGAGACTCATGCGTCTAGACCGCTGTCAGTATTAAGAAAGGCTGCACCAGAAAATCTCAAAAAGAGAGTATGTTAGAGCTATTGCTAAATGCTGCCTATTAGATGTAGATAAATGACTGAGTTTGTGATTCAACTTAGGTCACAGTTACCACTAATTAAAAGTAAATAAAGATTCTACAAATTCCTGTCAGTGTTGACTAGTTTTAGTGCTGCTTTCTAAAACAACGCCCTTCATAGAATTATTTGGAAATAAAATCAAGTGGTGTAGAAAGAACTCTATGTTTCTTATAAAAAGTATACCCCATACTGACATTTAGACATTATTTTTTGTTTTTTGTTTTTTTTAATTGCGTCATTTATTTTTAAAGGGCAGAGGAAGATGAATGAAAGAAGTGAAATCGAAGGATCTTATTTTAGGTTTTTTACTAGGAAAAGAAAGCCAGAAGGAGAAAGAAGAAGCAGAAGTGAGCTGAGACGGCAATCAGGTTGCAACATTTCCCTATAGCTGCTGTTGGGTGGTTATTTGTATGCACTTTGCACAGCAAATGAAAGAGAAAACTTGTTCTCCTTTCTCTGTTCCTTTGCATCTTTATGGCATGGTGGGGAGTTTTGATAAAGTATTTTCATTCCTCCTATTGACTGATCACCTGTCCATCTCTTTGCAGTTCTCATTTCACAGTTTAGGAGTTCAGAGACCAGAGTTTTCGTTCTAGCCATTCTCTGGCAAATAACCTTATGTGTGATACCCACCCGACTCAGCTCACAGAATTAGTTTGACAGTTAAATGAGATAAATATTACTTGAACACTTTTCAAAAATTTTTGAAGTTATCTAATGGGAAGTATGAATATTATTATTATTATTACTACTATTATTATTCCCTGATGATAGAGAGGACTCAAAAGCTAATCTAATTACTGCCAGAGTTCTGGGGTTACAGTGGAAACTTCTTTCTTCTCCTCCTCTCTTTCTGCTTTCCTGCCACAACACGTATTTAGCTAATGCCAAGTACCACACCAGGCACTGGTGTTGTGGAGGAGTGTACACAAGCCCAGACTTCCAGGGTTGAGTGAGAATCCGGGGGCAGCGGAGCAGAGGGTCAAAGCAGGATGGTGGAATAGAGTGGCTGAGTTATCAGTTCCGGAAACACCACTACGACTGTATTTTGAGCCAATTAACCTGCATTTATTAATTTTCTTTCTCTTCTATAAAACAGAGATAACTTTATTCTAAGGTTTAAGTGACATAAATATTTATACTTCTTAGCAGAGAGCCTAGAACACCATAAGCACTCAGTAAATCACAGTCATTATTCTCATTCCTACCTGACTTGGTCACCTGCAAAGCCCAAGGACCATGGATTGTCTAGGAGCATATTCTGAATCCTGTAGAGTGAACAGGTCAGCCATCTGCAGGGGACCCCCAGGGGAGTCTGGAGTGGCCCCAACTCAAAAAACTCAGCCAGAATGTAGGTCTCACAATTGCTGTGAGTGCTAATTTAGTAATTTCTAAGTTCAAAAATAGCATCATATGTTCATTTGGCTTTGTTCATTGCCTCCTATCGTCTTGATGACAAAAAGGCTTTTTTTAAATCCTAAAAATTAATGCTGACAGCAGCAGGATATGAGTAATATTTATAAGCAACAAAACTATTCTGGTAAGGCCATAAAAAAGTAAATTCTCGTCCATATGGCGTAGCCAAGGAATCAATGACTATGTTTCCAGAAAAGTAAGTAGTTCTGGGAGCTGTGAAGTTTTGGACCCGCAAGACAAGAAAGCTCTAGACAAGTGGTCCTCACCTGTGGGTGGTTTTGACTCCCAGGGAACAGTTGGAAATGTCTGAAAACACTTTTTGGTTGTCACAACTGTGGGGGTGGCTACTGGCATCTAATGGGTAGAGGCCAAGGGTGCTGCTAAACATCCTGTGATACACAGGACAAATGATTTCCTGGCCAAAATATCAAAAGTACTGAGGCTGACAGAACCATGCCTAGAAATGAGCAGTCCATAGAGCAGCCCCCTCACAGTGAAAACCAGAGATACCGCTGTCATGATGAAGACCTTCCTGTGTATCAGGCACTTGGTCACTATATTTTACCAGGTGCTCCCCAAAGTAGCTATTGTCACTATTTTACAGATAGAGAAATAGAGGCTAAGAAATGATAAATAATTTGCCCAAAGAACTTCTGATGATACAGGAACTTGGACAGGACTTTCTGCCTGCCCGATTCTGAGACCTGAGCTCTTAACCCTATGTGTGTGTGTGTGTGTGTGTGTTTGTGTGTGTGTGTGTGTGTGTGTGTGTGTGTGTGTATGGTGGGGGTGGCTCAGTCCTTGCTGCCCAGATTTTACTAACAAAGTGGCTACTGTTTATTTTGGCTTAAGAAAAATGTCCAGCCCTGGCTGGTTTAGCTCAGCGTTTAGAGCGTCGGCCTGCGGTCCAGAGAGACCCAGGTTCGGTTCCTGCTAAGGTGCGTACCTCGGTTGCAGTTTGTCCCTGGCCCTGGTTGGTCGTGGGGGTGGCAGCCACTCGATGTGTCCCTTTCATGTCGATGTTTCTCTTTCTCTCTGTTCCTCTCTCTTCCTCCCACTCTACCTGAACAAAAAATGGAAAAATGTCCTCGGGTGAGGATAAAAAAAAAAAGAAAAATGTCCGTGGCCAGTTCATCAGAGGAGCGCCTGTCCTTATGCTCTGCGGCCCTGGGGCTGCAGGGCTGCTTTCTCTTACTCCGCTCTCAACCTTGCCAGTGCCCAGCTGCTTAGAGGACTGTTACAGACCAGGGTGCTTATTCCCTTGAGCCAAGAGATCTGTACCTCTACTAAGCAGTTTGTTGTGAGATAAATTGGAAGACACCATATAAGCAAACAACCCAAGCAATTAAGGTCAGTGCTCTGGGTCTTTGAATTGCTGGGATTAGGGAGCCATGTGGAGGTGACCACAGGGGCAGAGTATGGTTGAGGCAGCCCTGTTGGTCACTGTTACTCATTTACTTCTCGGTGGTCAATGAACCAATGAGCCATCAATCACCTTCTGTGTACAGGTCATGTTCCCAGTGATTCTGACCGAGGGCTACTGCTCAGAGGTGGCATTGTAGCTAAAATACTATTAGAGGTCATAGGTATCTGTTGGTTTGTGGCTGACTTGGTCCAATGACCTAAAGGAATGTGAACCTTAGGGACTGAGGAAGAACCAGTATTTTTGAACAGTAATATTTAGGGTAAGGACTGGCTTTGAAAAACTCTAGGTCAAGGTTGACAGTCCCTTGGATGCAGGCTGTAGGCTAGGACACCAGCATCTGAAATGACCTCTAGCCCAGAGGTGAACTTCATGAAAACAACACAATTTTTTTTTCTTTTCTTTTCTTATTGATTGATTGATTGATTTTAGAAAGAGAGAGAAGGGGGGCCTGGGGGGAGGGAGACAGAGAGAGAGATCACACTCTAACCAACTGAGCTACCCGGCCAGGGCCTGACAGCATAATTTAATGTGAACCTGTTTTTAACAACTACAAAGCTCCTCTGTTTTCTTGTTACCAGGTAAAAGTGGGTTTGGCTAGGGAAGGAGTGGATTGAGGGGGAGATGGAAGGGAAGGGGAGAGAAGAGGAGGGGATGGGAGGGGAAGGGAGGGGGGAAGGGGAGGGAAGGGAGGGGGGAAGGGGAGGGAAGGGGAGGGAAGGGAGATTTTCAGCTTTCTATTTTGAAACAATTTAGAACTTATGAAAAAGTTCAAAGAGTAGCAACCCAGATTTCTTAAATATTAACATTTAACCACATTTATATTCTCATTCTCTCTTTATATACATATATGTGTTTTTAATATATTTATTAAATAAAATAATATTCTTATTATTTTATGAACTGCTTGAGTGTAAGTTAAAAATACAGTGCTACTTAATCTTTAAATATTTTATTGGGTATTTCCTAAAAAGCAGGACATTTTCAACATAATCATAGTAAATTATCAAAGTTGAGAAACTAATAATAAGGCAATATTATTTATCAGATCTACAGTTATCACTCAAATATCACTAGTAACTTAATAATGTTCTTTCTGGCTGGCCAAAGAAAAAATTATTTTCTGGTCCAGGATCACATGTTGCATTGGGTTATCACATCTCTTTCGTCTCCATTCACCAGGAAGAGTCCTCCGTTGTTCCTTTCCTTCATGACTTTGACATGTACAAGCCATGCATTGAGTAGAATGGAAAGAGACGTCCCATGCAACATTAGCTTCCAGTCATGCACAGAAGTGCTCTGCATCCTTCCCAGTGTGGCATCTGGAACAGTCCTCAGTATTTTTTAAAATAATAATACAAAGTTTATTAACAGAGTTTAGAATAAAGGAAGTAAAGTGGAAACCATGCTCTTGAAGTTGCCTCGTCAAGGCATGGTGGCTTTGCAGAGCACTTTATGAGCTCTTGCATCATGGTCATGATGGGAGAGGTTTCTCAACCCTCCCTGCAAGCTGGGCTTCTCTGCTCCAGTACTTCAGGCTGACACCACTGTGTCCCGATCTCTTGGCTTCATCTCTCCAGGCCTTTCCTACACTCATGTAAGCCCTAATTCTATATTATACTCCTGATTTCCGTCATTCTTATAATGACTCAGACTGATACACTTTATTCCTGTCTCTCTTTTCCTTCATGACTCTGAGGTTTGTGAAGAGTGTGCTGTGCCAGGAGGCACATGACCTTGGTTTGTCCCATAATCAGTAGTATTACTTTTTTATTACATATGTAGACATTTTAAGGAAATTTTATATTGATAAATTCAACTAGTGTAGTGTTTTGCTTAAGTCTGGCCTAGATGAATAATTATTGAATGAGTAAATATTCGTGTTCCCTGAATGGAATCTGTAGACTTCATTGTAATGCAAATCCCATGGAAATTATTTGTAAAAGGCAAATACTCTTGGTGTTTAATGTGTCCTAGAGCAACGCGTGGGGATTTCCTCTCAGTGTTGATAATGCCAGGGCACCCATGAGGCAGAAACAGTGAAACAATGGCTCACCTTTGTGCAGCCTTCTACACTGCGTTTGTACATACAAGTTGGTTCAGGTGGTGGTTGGATTTCTCCACTGTGAAATTACTATTGTTGTTTGTTTTTCTTTTTAATTATTATGCATCTTATACCTGAATAATGATTCTATGACAGTTGCCAAATGGTGATTCTCTAATTCCATCATTCTTTTTGCATTTATTAATTGGAATGTTAGTTCTTCTATAAAATGAGGCAAATAATGTGTCCTGTCTAACTCACAGGTTGCTGAGAGGATCGAACGAGACTTCTGTGCAGACGCGCAGTGTGGGAGGCTGCAGGAAGGTGAGCCATGTTTCATGTTGTCTTCCTCGTGGGTGCCCCTGGCAAACATGACAGTACAGAAAGTCCCCAATCCCTGCTCTAGGACTCATTAAACCCCAGGTGCATTTGCCTTTCACAAATAATTCCATGGGATTTGAATTGCAATGAAGCCTACAAAATGCATTTCAGGGAACATATTCAATATTTAGTCATTCAATAATTATTTATCAAGGCCAGAATTAAGCAAAACACTACACTCATTTAATTTATAATTATAATTTTTTTAAATGCCTACATATGTAATTTTGTAAGAATTAATCACATACCTCCAATTATACATTAAAAAAAAAATTTGTTTTATCCTCACCAGAGGAAATTTTTGCATTTATCCTGAGATTGAGTGGGAAGGAGAGAGGGAGGAAGAGAGAGAGAGAAACATTGATGTGAGAGAAACACATCGAGTGGTTGTCACCCATACAACCCCTAACCGGGCCAAACTGCAACTGAGGTATGTGCCCTTAGCTGGAACTGAACCTGGGCCTCTCTGGTCCACAGGCCTATGCTCTAACCCCTGAGCCAAACCGACCAGGGCCCAATTATACATTTTTAATGTACAGTATTTATATATTGGAGAAAGGGAAATCCTGCTACATGGAGATTGATTTGTAACAAATCAGTAACTTCTACACAGGAAGAATTTGGGGAAACGACACCAAATTATTAAGCCAGGGTAGTCTAAAACTTGACTGCTTTAAAAATAACCACAGCTATTCCACAAGCATCAACTAGTTTTCTCAAACCTATCGTATTTTAATATTAACCTCTGACTAATTTTTATAAATCGACAATTTTTGTTACCCTTTCTTTCTTTAACTATAGATCTTTTGTCAGAGGGAAAAATTGAAAGCAGAATCTAAAATTTCTTTGAGAAGCGAAGAAGATATATTACATTGAGTTATTTTTATATCTGAGATGATCTGTTTCTTATAAAGCAGTAGAAATAAAGTTTTGTGTATGTGTGCACATGAGTATGTGTATATGTTTAATGCTATGTGTGTGTGTGTGTTTATGTTCTTTATTAGGGGGAAAATATTTACATATATATATTATATAAAAAACTACAAAAAATTTACCAAAATACCAAGAGTCAAATGTGATAATCATTACTTTCTTTTAATTTTTTTTCTGTATCTGCTAAATATTTTTTAGCATGCGCACAAGTCACTTTTACAAGCAGGAAAAAGAGTAATTTTTAAAAATGATTAAAAGGAAAAGCCAGAAAATTATTATAAATTAGAAAACCCAAGCAAAGTTTACAAGATTTCTTGTCTTCCAAGTACTTTTTTAACACAGTGCCTATGAAGAGCCATGACTCCAGAAGCATCCCTGAGGCCTCAGCTTGAACTCAGGGCCTATGTATCCATCATCCTCTATGAGGCACTTAAGGCCTCTCTTGATTCCAAGGGAGCATTGGGATCAAGGGTAGAGATATGTGGACGCAGGACAAGATATGTAGATATGAGGAAACCTTCTGAGGCCCCACAGTGGAAGGAAATAAGGTCTTTCACACGTAAGATGTTCTCTGTGACCCCCCTTCCTTCCAGAGGCAGCGAAAGCCAACACAAGACCAGGGCTGTTCCTGCGTGCGGCAGCACCTGATCATCGCCTTCCTTGGGGCTGCCCTATAGCTGTGAGTTAGGAGGCCTGGGCTGCCTAATGCTCAGACCTGAGGCTAGCAGGCAAAGCCCTACAATTCTCATTCACTTCCTCCTCCTACCGAATGGCTTGCTCGTCCCGGGCTGTCAGTACCCACAGTAAAAGTTTAGTGTTGGCTGTCTTTGCAAACAACAGATATTCTACTATATATGGAATTTTATATCCTACGATAGTCTGAAATCTTTCCCTGTGCTACTTATTATTTATTTTCTTTTTTTGTACATGCCCCTAGCGGGAACCAAACCCAGGACTCTCTGGTCCGCAGGCCAATGCTTCAACTGCTGAGCCAAACCGACCAGGGCTCCCTGTGCTACTTTTGATATTACACTTCCAAATAAATATTATACTTGTTTTCAATGATACAATTGCCTGAATCATCCACAACTATTATTTTATACCCAAACCCTGTATGATAATTAGTGGAACTTTCAAGGCATATACATTTACATGGTCAAGACAACAGAATGAATATAGTAGTGTTTCTTTAACATTGTTTTTTTTAACCCAAAAATAACTGCGAGAGTTTTAAATTGCTCCAGTAAGTTTACATGAAATAAAATTTTCTTTAAAAAAATGTAAGTGATTTATGCTAAGGGGAGATGCAGGTGCAGTTTTCTCTCTGCCTGTTGGATTTGAGGCCCAAGGTTATCTCCAGCCCTGAAAAAATTGGTTTTCCAGGTCATTCTCCTGCACCCATGGTCCAAGCCTCACAGTTTTAAAGTACAAATTTGTTTTACTTTGTCCTCTGTACATGTGATTTTTTTTCTCACAGGAAGCTGGAATCCAGAGAGGACAGAAACTGAGGATGATTGATCCTGGTTTGGGACGCTGTGCCCTTGGCCATTATCTCTCTTTTAATCTCTTCCCTTTATTCACCCTCTCTCAGTGAACTCTTTGGTGGCCTCACTCATTAATGCTCTCTGCATTGAGTGGCAACGGTCAGGATTGGCGCTCTTCTCTCTCCGATTTATGTTTTCTATTACTTGGTTATTTTTTGCATTACTTTAGAGAAGTGGTTTAGCCCTTAAATGACTATCTTCCCCATCAAATAAGTTACTTTTTAAACTATCTATTTATCCACTCAAATGCATTAAAATATCTCAAGTTTATAAATCCTGGGTTATCATGTTTTGATGGTTCTAATTTGAATATTCTAATTTTGCATACTCAGGACCACAGTTTATCGTTCAAGAAAGAAGTGACCTTGTTGTATCCAGGAAAACAATGTTCTTCTGGGTGTTAGCCCTCCTACTCCTCCTACTCCTTTGTGGTTTTCTATGGAACTATAAAAGACAACTAAAGATCGCAAACGTCACTGACAAGTATGTTTTCATTACTGGGTGTGACACGGGCTTTGGAAACTTGGCAGCCAGGACTTTCGATAAAAAAGGATTTCGTGTAATTGCTGCCTGTCTGACTGAATCAGCATCAAAAGCTTTAAGGGCAGAAACCTCAGAGAGGCTCCACACTGTGCTTATGGATGTCACTGACCCAGACAATGTCAAGAAGACTGCCGAGTGGGTGAAAAGCCACGTTGGGGAAAAAGGTGAATGACATGGGATGCTGGGAAGAATGGACGGGGTGCTGCGAAATAACTAAAACTAAGTAAAAAGTGTTTGGATACCCATTATACGCTGGAGAAGATAGAGAAATCTTAGGATAGCCCCTGAGTAGTTCCTGGTTGCAAGTTTTCTGTGTGCACAAGAGACACAGCCCAGCTTATCCTCAGTCTTAAGTCCAAGTGGGTGAATTTGGAACTGAGATGGAGGTTTGACTCGTTCCCTCGCGAAGTGTTCCGCTAGCCACATACACAGCAAAGAACCCTGGGGCTACAATCTGCAAGAGAATATGAGAACAATCCCCAAATTGCCATCTGGATACCTGAGACCTGCTTCTCACTACAAAATGGTTCCAGAGCATATACATTTTAAGTGGTGAAGGCAGAAAATGGCCTGAGAATTTGAGTGTAGGCATCTTAGATAGTCACGGAAGAGTAGTGAGCCATTGGCCCTCATTCTGCATTAGATTCTGCTAAGATGGCAGCATTCTGAACTAGAGGACTTGTGTCGGCTTGAATGAAGTTTGAAATAAGTCTCATGGGGGAAGGTATCTGATGGATCCACAAAGGAAACAAAACCAAAGGTGTTGCTCTGTCACATCTTCATCATGAGTCTGATCCTCAAAACCAGTGGTTTGATAAGGCTCCACATAATTTTTAAAACTTGAATTCCAAACACCTTTGCACATATTAAATGTTTCCCAGAATAAATAAGCCAAGTGAATGATGGTTCTTTTTTTTTTTTCTACCAAAAGTAGACATGAAGTAGATTGTTGTTGCTCTTTGCCCATATAGAACAGTTCATCAATATTCTCTGGCCTTGCCATCTAGCAAGGTAAGAAAAATAGACCAATTTACTCTACATCTGAGATTAAAAAACAAAAATTCTCACTGTGTATCAGCATTTGGCATTCAGAACCGAAAACAGAATAACTGAGATATTAGCTTCAATAACAGGACTTCAGCTATTTGAATTTAGCCTCCTACCCCATCTGCTATCACTTCCCCAAACTGCAGAGTATTTCAAAGCTGAGTGCGACAGAGGAGGAAATGGCACCATTGTGAAAAGCAGAGGCTGTATTTTCATTAAGGATGAGTCGACCACATCTCCTTTCTTTTCTCTCTGTTTAGGTCTCTGGGGTCTGATCAACAATGCTGGGGTTCTTGGCGTGCTGGCTCCCACTGACTGGCTGACAGTGGAGGACTACAGAGAACCTATAGAAGTGAACCTGTTCGGACTCATCAGTGTGACGTTAAACATGCTTCCTTTGGTCAAAAAAGCTCGAGGGAGGGTTATCAATGTCTCCAGCATTGGGGGTCGTCTTGCATTTTGCGGAGGAGGCTATGTTCCATCCAAATATGCAGTAGAAGGCTTCAATGACAGCTTAAGGTAAAGCAAACATTGATATATTAGGAAATAATAGCTGCTAACATTTATTGAATATTTATTATGTACCAGACACTCTATTTAGTGCTTTAAATGATTCCTATTTTATAGATTATCATATCATTTTGCTGTGTGCTATCAGAAAACATCAGAGCTCAAAACAAAGAACCAACTTAGTAAATAAGTGCCCCAACTCAGTGCCCCCAAGCATGGATTTCTTAGAGTTTATAATGTTTCAAGTTCACTGAGCTTCTTGAATCTGTAGGTTTATGTCTTTTGCCAGATTTGGGGAGTTTTCAGCCATTATTTTTTCAAACTCCCCCCCCCCCCCATTCACTGTCTCTTCTCCTTCTGAGACTCTATTGCACAAATGTTAGTACTTTTGGTTTTGTCCCACAGATCCCCAATGTTCTTATCACCTTTTCAATTATTTTTCTCTCTGCTGTTCAGATTAGATAATTTCTAATGATCTATCTTCAAATGCACTGACTTTCCTTTATTTCCATTCTGCTATTGAGTCCCACCAATAAATATTTTATTTTGGTTATTATATCTTTCTAAGTAATTTAGTGGCACTTCAAAATATGGTCTTCTTCCCTACCTCACCTACTAACATCTGCATTCTAGAGTTCTTAAATAGCCATTCCATGCTTTCTGTCCAGGCTTTGTAGCTACATTTAGTGGGAGAGATGGGGGAAGGGGGGATGCTTAATCTATTTTACTGAGAACCAGAAGCTATCCCTATCAATTCAAAGCTCTTAAATTGCAAGAGGTTGTATCAGTCAAGGTACTGGCAGGCAATGGAAGCACATTAAAATTGGGTAAATGGAGCAGAGTTTACTTAAAGGACTATTAGCAAACATGGGCATTGCGTAGGGAAATCCTAAAGGAGAGTGTAATACGTAGGGATTAATGGCAGCAGGGGCCTCTCTATCCAGGGGGCTGAAGGGAGAAGACAGGGCAGTTTCCAGAACCTGGATGCATAGAGGCTGTCACCTTCCAATGAGGGATGAAACTAACCAGTGTCAACATCACAGCAGGAATAACCAGCCAACCTCTTCCCATTACTCCCTCTGACCTCCCTCCAGTACTCCCAGTTGGCAGTACCCTACAGGAGCCAAAATATAGTTAATACAGGCAGCCCTCCAGGATGGGGTTCGGGCAGAAGGTTGGAGGAGACTAGAGAAGCAAATGGAAAGTATCCAGTTGAGTATACAATGACAGGCAAGGGAAAAGACAAAATTACATATAGTCTTTTCTTCAATTTACCCATTTATTTATTCAACTAGTATTTGTTGAACTACGTGTTAGAGTGGTGATCTACACCATGGATCTAGGTTTAGCTTGTTAATTAAAGGTTAGATTATTCTACTGAGATTAATAGAGATAGAGCAACTCCATTTTGCCATTTGATCAGGTTGCCAGGTTTGATTCTTCCAGGAAATAAACACAATAATACCAGAACAGTGCGTTTTCAATGTCATGTGCATGTGAATCACCTCGATCTTTTCAAAATGCAGATTCTGATTCAATGGGTCTGGGGTGGGTCCTGAGTTTCTGCATTTTTAACAAGCACCCAAGTGTTGCCCATGGTTCCGGGCTTACATTTTGAGTAGCAAGGTCATGGAGAACCTCCATTAGTCTCCATCATTGCCCTTTGTGGCCACTCTTTCAGCAACAGTATCATAATAAAATTTAGTATACTTCTAGACTTACTTACTTTCATTTTTCTTTTTTGTGTGTGTGTGGTACGTGCCCCTAACAGGAACCGAAACCAGGACTCCCTGGTCCGCAGGCCGACGCTCAACAGCTGGGCCAAACTGGCCAGGGCTAGACTTACTTACTTTTAAAAATATATTTAAACTGAAGGGTTTGTGGGATTGCAGTGCAGCTACACTATGCTAATGTCTACGTCACGGACCTAGTATTAGACATGGTATTGGGCATGCAGACCACAGTCCAGGGGCAGCTCCAGGAGGGTTTCAGGGCAGCAGACCTGTTGGGAGAGGGTTGGGGCTCTTTAAAGCTGCATTTGCACAGCAAGCATACTGGCTTCATACTGGTTTTGCTCACCTGGTAAGGTTAGTTGGGTGATTTAAAACCATATGTCCCTTGAGTATGTTATTTTCATGAGGGGGTGGAGTGAGTCTTCCCAAATACATCCTCAGCACTGTTACTTTCCAAACCCAAAGGAGATCAGAAGTGAGTAAAATATAATTAAGTTGAAAAATAACCTTTGTTTATTTTGATGCAAGCAACATACCCTTCAAAATATTTCAAAATCAAGCTAATTTTCATTTTTGTAAAATATACTTCAAACTAAACAATAGGTGTGTTGCAAAAAAACCCACCAGAATCTAAGATAAATTAAATCACATTTTAAAGTGACTGGTATAGTTCTTTAAAAGTCTTGTGGTAGGTGGAGTCTTCTGTAAAATGAATAATTACTTTCTTATATATTCCTGGTAGAAATATAAATTAAATATAGGAAGTAATTTTCCATATAATGGTTTGCCGTATATTGGGTTGCTTTACAGAAAGGGGAACCGTGATTTATACAAAACCTGTTGCCCAGTAAATGCACAGACTTTTCTTCGTCTGCAGTGACGTGATAAAAGAGCTTGCTGAGTAGCATATGGGATAGGTTTGTCACGTCATGTCCCTCAGCATGTCCTCATTTATGCTGCAATCTCTTCACATTGCTAGAATGGAGGTAAACTTGTCCAGCCAGGCCAGTCATCAGTCAGTTTCACAGCAGGTACCCTGAGTGCTGAAAAGAACCTGTCCTTAGCCCAGATGCTTGTCAATTCAATGAGAGTGTGGCTTAGGGGAAATCCTGGGCGGGAGTTGGGTCTACCCAGGTCCTTACCTGTTCCGTCACTAAACCCAACCTCACTCCACCACCCTGACCTTCAGATCTGCAGACTGAGAGGGTAGAACGAGATGCTTCTGATTCAGTGATTCCACTAAAAGATTCACAGGAAAGTGTCATGAACATCATTAATGGTCTGGGGCTTGGGGTGGTGGTTGTTTTTCCACAGACGGGACATGAAAGCATTTGGCGTGCACGTCTCTTGCATCGAACCAGGATTTTTCAAAACAGGATTATCAGATCCAGTAAAGACTGCTGAAAAAAAACTTGCCATCTGGAAGCATCTGTCTCCAGATATCAAACAACAATACGGAGAAGGCTACGTTGAAAAATGTGAGTTTGGAGTGGACACAGGGTCCTCTGGGGTTCGTTGTTTTCGACAGCATGAAGGAGACTCAAACATAAATGAAAAAATAAGGTTCTCATAGTAATAGGGATCTTAACTATGGATCAAGTATTCCTACTAAGTCCAGTGTCATCTTTTCCTTCTCTGAACGTTTACTAAGTGTCAAGTTCTATACCTGCACCTTATAAATTATGTATATCATTTGCTCCTCAATAAAACTATAGGAGTAGTGAGGAGAGCCTTGGGAAGGTGAAATATCTTACCCAAGGTAATACAACTCCTCCTGGTCATGACATACTAGAGCCCATGGTCTTCACCTCTACACAAAACTCCTCTTTTTGGTAAAACCAATCAACCACTCCACATTGTTCCAGGATTTAAGAAGGTTACAAAATATAAAGACTCAGACTCTGACCTTTAACTAGTTTATAATCTAGCTGACAGCAAAAAGTAACCAAGTGAGACTATAGAACAATGAACTGTACAGCACAAAGAAAAGTAATCCTTTCTTTACCTCTTAGACATAACCCAACAGCCTAGAAGGGTGTGGTCTCTAATTGCCCAAAGAATTCAGACCAGGAAAAAAAAAAAGCTGGTTGAGAAGATATTATGGAACAGGTCAGGTTTTTTTGTTTTTGTTTTTGCATTTTATTTTACTTTTTTATTAATTAATTAATTTATTTTTGTTACAGATGTTTTTCCGCCACTGATTCCCCCTCCCCCTCCCTCCCCGCCCTGTCCCCAGCTTTGTTGTCCATGTCCACTGTTCATGCATACATGCATATAAGTTCTGTGGTTTATCTCTCCCCCACCACCCCCTCTTCTGGGGATTGTCAGTCTGTACCCCACTTCCATGTCTCTGGGACTACCCCATTCCTCAGACTGTTATGTTCATTATATTCCACAAATAAGTGAGATCATGCGATACTTGTCTTTCTCTGTTTGGCTTGTTTCGCTTAGGATGACACTTTCCAGGTCCCTCCATGTCATCTCAAAGGATAAGAGATCTTTCTTTCTTACAGCTGCATAGTACTCCATTGTGTACATGTACCACCACTTTTTTATCCATTCGTGGGCCAGGTCAGGTTTGAATAAAGCCTAAAGGACAGGAAGGAATTATTTGGGTAAAAACGTTCTGGAGCAGGAATGCATGGGGAGTGGAGAGAGAAAAAGTAACTAAATCCAGAGACTGAGTCAGGGATAAAGGAATAATACTAAAGATTAGACTGTGATGAATGACATATAGTGAGCATTTACTGTGTACTTGCTCTATTATGAGCTTTACATGCACTTTCATTTAAGATGCTTAAATAAAAAATCAAAAAATAAAATGCCCAAATGAAGTAGATACCACCTTAATTTTATAGAAACAGAGGCACAGAGAAGTAAGTTGTCCAAAGTTGCACAACTGGTAAGTAGTAGTGTTAGATGTGAACCCAGGTAGCCTGATGTTGCCATTGATTCTTGGGCACCACACTATAATGTCAACAGGCATTAAGGAGCCGGTCGAACTTCCTGTATTAGGGCTCCATCTCCATCTCAAACTTCCTGGGCCTGCCCCACCTAACTGTGTGTCACTCGATTCCTCCACACTGTGATCCTGCCTCTTTCGTCAGTGGGCTTGGTAAGACAGCCAACTATGGTAAGGTTCAAGGCCAGTAGTTCCCAAAGTGGAGCCAAGACCAAACCAGATGACCCGGGCAGGTTTTTAGAATGACTGACTCCCTTAACCACCCCACCCACTATACACACATGCACACGCACGCATACACATACACGGAGAGACAGACAGAAATGCAAACATATATATCAACTAGAACATCTGGTCGACAAACCTCCCAGTGCTGACATGTCACTATAGGTTTGAAACCACTGCCATTAAATGCTGTTTCTCACTCACCAGCTTTGAAGGTTCTAAGTAGATTCAGAAACAACACGCTCATTTAAAAGAGCTCTCTCTATGTGATATTGACATTGATACTTTCCAAATGCCCGTGAGTATAGCAGCAACTTCCATCTCAAAATCATTTTTCTATTGTTCCTGGTTCAAGTGTCCTGTCTCAGAGGTACCAACTGGCTTTGAACACTGGTTGTCTTTTTTAAAGTTTTCCAAGTCAGGATTTGGAAATCAGCCAGACTTACGATTCCAAAGTAGACCACAAATTTAAGCTCACCTTTCTTCAGTTCCCAGGCTGGAGTAATAGGAGTTTAAAATAGCCACTACGGCTTATTAGGTAACCTCTTTTAGGCTCTTTGAACAACTTGTGGCTACAGAGGCCTGGAGTTGAAAGGAAGATTTAAAATAATAGATTTCCCCGAGAAGACGTCACTCGGGTATGTTTTAAGAGCACAGGAGGAATGCTCTGAGTTATTACCAATTCCTTGATAACACACCCGCCTCTTCAAAAATATCTTAGCTCATTACTCAAACATTTCATTTACCTGACAACCAGGATATCTTCAGCTTCTTGAGCCAGGGCTTTTGGGTAATGATTCTCTCTTTTATTTTATTTTCTAAATTTTTTTCTTTATTGATTTATAAAGAGAGAAGAAGGGAGAGGGAGAGAGATAGAAAAATCGATGAGAGAGAACATCAGTTGGCCACCTGCTGCAAGCCCCCCACTGGGGATTTGGCCCACAACCTGGGCATGTGCCCTGACCGGGAATCGAACCAGCTACTTCTTGGTACATGGGCCAATGCTCAACTACTGAGCCACACTGGCCGGGTTGATTCTCTCTTTATTCACTGGATTATAGAGGCACATGGTGAATGAGTGCACACACGTACATGCACAAACACACGTGCATACACACATTCCCTGTAAACACAGTACCCCTCAAAACAAGTTCAAAATCAAACCCATCAACTTCCTAGACTCAGGAGCCTCACTGACTTTATGAAGCATCTGCTCTCGTTGCTTTAAAGTAGTGCTTCTCCACGTTTGGTCTCTGGATCAGAGCTATGAGTATCCCCCTGGAAACGTGATAAACATGCAGATTCTTGGGCCCCCTTTACACCTACTGGAGGCGGGACCCAGCAATCTGGGCTTTAACAAGCCCTCTGGAAAAGTCTGCTACCCACTCAAGTTTGAGAGCCAGTGTTCTAAAGAAAGCATTGCTGCCTCCTATTCTGAGAAATAGAAACCCATCACAATGGGCCTCAGTTACAATGGCAAATTCAAAATTCCCACAGACACAACTTCCCCTTTGTACTCTAACCTCCACATACTCCTCTTCCCCTCTCGCCAGAGAGTAAATATACTTTTTTCCTCTTTTTACAGGTCTAAACAAACTGAAAGGCACTACATCCTTTATGAACATGGACCTCTCCTTGGTGGTGGAGTGCATGGACCATGCCCTCACAAGTCTCTTCCCGAAGACCCATTATGCTGCTGGAAAAGATGCCAAGACTTTCTGGATACCTCTGTCTCACATGCCAGCATTTTTGCAAGACATTTTATTGAAACAGAAAGTCGCGCTGGCTAATCCCAGGGCGGTGTGACTCAGCTGGCCACAAATGTCTGCCCCAGGCTATGCATTTGGCTGATATCAAGGACACATCTCCTTTTTCCTTTTTAATCTCATTCCTTATCTAATTCAACCTGGACTCGTTTACATCATGCCTCTTTTGATAATTAAGTGATCCCACCATCCCTGGCAATGTCCCTGGATCCCTTCTCAAGCCTTCCTCGAAAACAAGAGCAGGCATGGTACTTGCCCAGTATTTAGGTTTTGCCTGCTTGGTCTGATGTAAGAGAAATTGAAAGGTTTTCTCATCCAAAATGATGTTCACCACAACTTACCCCACGCTCCCCTCCCTTATTCCTGACTGTTAAATATCTGTCCCTTATCAAAATGTTCAGAGATAGTAGAATACTTTCCTAAAAGGATTAGATTGTCCTGTTATCTTGCTGAGAATAAGACTCGGAAGGACCGGAACTGAGTTCTATAAGCTTTGATGGGGGCGGGAGAAGGAATAGTAATGCAGCATTATGTGACTGGTATAAGCTAAGGGAAGACTGCACATGGGAGGGAAGAAAAAGGAATAGAGAACTGAAAAATGAAATGGGTATAGAAGTGGAGGCAGGGAGACTCCAAGACTAGCCTGCCTGCCCCAGAGGGGCTAAGGGCCATAGAAGCCCACTCCAGGCGCTGTGAACACTGATGCGCATAGCCACCTGCTAGAAAAGTGGTAACAACAGAGCAACCAAATATTCCCAAAGAACAAAAATGTAGGGAATATTTAAGTCTGTTCTGGTGATTGTAAATACGACAAGACTAAAAATACCTGATATAATTTACAATTGAGATGGTTGCAAATTTGTATCTGAGGTGTCTCTGGAGCCCCATGAAGATAGAGAACTAAATAAAAGACTTTTAATCCTATAGTTACAGTGTGAGCAGCTCTTGTCCTTGCTCATATTCATTGACCCTAGACCCACGCAGCATCCCAAAGAATGGTTCTCTAAACGGATGCTTCCCCAGATTCCAGCACCCGGTATCACTCACAGAGTTTTGTTGAATATTTATATGGAAAAGCCTGAAATGTCAGAATTCAACATTTCTTTTTCTTTTCTAATTAATTAATTAATCAATTTATTTTTGTTACAGATGTTTCTCCTTTTCCCCCCACTGATTTCCCCCTCCCCCACCCTCCCTGCCCTCTCCCCAGCTTTGTTGTCCATGTCTGTTGTTCATGCATACATGCATATAAGTTCTGTGGTTTATCTTCCCCCCACCACCCCCTCTTCTAGAAATAGTCAGTCTGTTCCCCACTTCCACATCCCTAGGACTACCCCATTCCTCAGACTGTTATGTTCATTATATTCCACAAATTAGTGAGATCATACGATACTTGTCTTTCTCTGTTTGGCTTGTTTCACTTAGGATGACACTTTCCAGGTCCCTCCATGTCATCTCAAAGGATAAGAGATCTTTCTTTCTTACAGCTGCATAGTACTCCATTGTGTACATGTACCACCACTTTTTTATTCATTCGTCTACTGATGGACATTTGGGCTGTTTCCAGATCTTAGCTATTGTAAATAGTGCTGCTACAAACATGGGGGTACATATATTCTTTCTGATTGGTGTTTCAGGCTTCTTAGGGTATATTCCTAGAAGTGGGATCACTGGGTCAAATGGAAGTTCAATTTTTATTTTTTTGAGGTAACACCATATTGTTTTCCATAGTGGCTGCACCAGTCTGCATTCCCACCTGCAGTGCACTAGAGTCCCCTATTCTCCACACCCTCGCCAACATTTGCTGTTTGATGATTTGTTGATGGTGGCCATTCTGACAGGTGTGAGGTAATACCTCATTGTTGTTTCAATTTGCATCTCTCTGATGATTAGTAATGTTGAGTATTTCTTCATATGTCTCTTAGTCATTTGTATGTCCTGTTTGGAGAGGTGTCTATTTAGTTCCTCTGCCCATTTTTTAATTGGGTTCTTTGTCTTCCTTTTTTGAGTTGTATGAGTATTCTATATATTTTGGAAATTAACCCCTTGTCTGATATATCATTGGCAATTATTCTCTCCCATACAGTGGGTAGCCTTTCCATTTTGATGACTGTATCTTTTGCTGTGCAGAAGCCTTTGAGTTTGATGTAGTCCCATGTGTTCGTTTTCTCCTTCGTTTCTGTTGCCTTAGGTGATGTGTCAGTAAAAATTCTGCTGTGTATGATGTCTGAAATTTTGTTGCCTACAGTTTCTTCTAGGATTTTTATGGATTCATGAGTCACATTTAAGTCTTTTATCCATTTTGAGTTTATTCTCATGTAGGGTGTAAGTTGATGGTCTTGTTTCATTTTTCTGCATGTAGCTGTCCAATTTTCCCAACACCATTTATTAAAGAGGCTGTCCTTACTCCACTGTATGCTCTTGCCACCTTTGTCAAATATTAATTGTACATATTGCCTTGGGTCCATTTCTGGGTTCTCTGTTCTGTTCCACTGGTCTATATGCCTGTTCTTGTGCCAGTACCAGGCTGTTTTGATTACAGTGGCTTTGTAGTATAACCTGAAATCTGGTAATGTGATCCCTCCTACTTTGTTCTTCTTTTTCAAGATTGCTGTGGCTATTCGAGGTCTTTTGGTTCCATATAAACTTTTGAAGTATTTGTTCTAGTTCTGTGAAGTATGTCATTGGTATTTTGATGGGGATTGCATTGAATCTATAGATTGCTTTGGGTAATATGGACATTTTAATGATGTTAAGTCTTCCCATACATAAACAAGGTACGCGCTTCCACTTTTTTTTTATATCTTCCTCTATTTCCTTTTTCAATGACCTGCAGTTTTCTGTGAACATTTCTTGCAATCGTAATACCATTTAGGGTGAGTCAGAGAAATGTAGTGTACATGCACACACACACACACACACACCACTTATTGTGAAGAAAATATTTAAATCTACAGCTTAAAACCATGTTCACTTAAATATATCAGTAATTTTATCTACTTTTATTCACCTTTCTGGAAAGACCTAATTATGAGGTAATTTCCTTCTTTCAAGTGTATGGCATACTGATGACCTTGAAAATCAAATTACCAATGGTATCAGTGCACCTGGACATACATGTCATGGTTTTGAGGGAAAATACACTCATCCTTTTTTGCATGAAAATGAAGGAAATCACAGCAAGAATCAGGTAGAAAAATTCTCAAGCAAAGTTAGTTAAAGTATTGTCACTACCTACTTGTGAAGTCCACCACAGCTTGGCTCCGGCTCTAAAGACAGTTCATCTGTTTATCTCTGATTTCTTCTGGTTACAATTAATGACCTGTGGGTTAGGTGACCTTCACTCAACTTGTCCTTGGAGCTGAAGTTCATCAGTGTTGTTTGCTGGGGCTCCTTCTAACCTTGAATTCCCAGATCTTGGCTTCATTTTGCTGCTTTAATAATGTCTGGCCTGCTGCTCACTGGCCTTCCAGGCCTCCAGGTACGCCAAGACTTGGAATCTGCAGGAACCTAATTTGCTGAACTTCAACCATGCCAGCCCTGTTTTGGGGCCTGCCTTTACGGTGTCATGTCCTTTGTTTTGGCCACACCTGTATTCTGTGCTCATTTCTCCTAGCAGCTCCCATTGGTGACTCCCTGTTTCATCCAACCAAAAAAGAACCCTACTTAAATAAAAGCTTCCAAATATGGTAGCACCTCAAAATATAGTCACCCAACAACTTTTAAAGCTTTTAAAACTAAATTAAAAGGTGGAGTGTTTGGAGTCTCAACAAAAACACAAGTCCAGGGAGGAAGGTGGGAGAGACATCGGAAGGTCACTGCACCAGGAGCCTGAGGTATGAGTTCCTAGACCTCTCTCCAGCTTGCCATTGCTTGTGTTCTCGGTGCTCTTGGGAAAATTATTTTCATCTATAATACTTTTGGAGACACATGTGCTGGGAATTCTGCTAAGTATTGGTCTGCAGTATGGAACAGAATGGATATGAGCCCTTTCTTCACAGAGCTTCATACCAGCCAAAGGATGAGGCCACTACTTAGGATGCCTGGGAGGAGCTTCTCCAGGTCCATGGCCACGATGAACTGAGCTGTTGTCCTCTGCCACCTCTCTCTTGAGAGATCCTTCCTCACTTAGTTTAGAGGGACCAGGAGAATCTCCCAGACTTTCCCTCTGATCTGATCCAAAATTCTATCTGTGTCCTTGATTGCTCTATAGGGACATCCACAATGTATTCGGATCTGAAATTTCTATCTCTCTCACCCTACTGTTAATTAGCTACTGTTAACTTTGTCTCCTAAGGAGATCTCAAGTCCCTCTACTCTTCACCTTCAGTGCAATCATCTGTTCAAGCTTCCGTCAGCTCTTATCTCAACTACAGCATCTTCACTCCGTGTACCTTCATTGATTTCCCCTCACAGTCAGAGCTGCTCAAAGTGAAATCTGATCATTCTGCTCTTCTCACCACCACCACTTTCTTAAACCCTTCCATGTGTTCCCATTGCACTTTGGCTAAAGATTAAAATGCGTGACATGAACTACAAGGCCCAGTACTCCTCCTGAGCCTCATTTTAGGCTACTACCCTCCACATTTGCCACCCCAGGGTCTTTGGCCATGCTCCTCCCCATAATGTTCCCCTTTGACCTGCAGATCTCTTTCTCTTCCTCAGGGGAGCCCGTACAATTCCAAATTCTGAACACCATCTTTTCATCCCAACTAAGCTCTTATACCTTCTCACCGTGTCCTGTAATTTACATCGGAACACATCAAGTCTGTAATTATATATTTGTGTGGTCGGTGAGTTAATATTGGCCTCCCCTATCAGATTTTAACTCTCATGAAATCAAGAACCAGGGTGCTTTGCTTATCTTTGAATGCCCTTGCGGTGGACATTGCTGGCACCTAGATCAGTGTTCAATAAACATCAGTTTAATGAATTCAGAAGTCAGCATATATCAGCCTTCTGACTAAGGGGACAATCTGTTCCTCAGATCAAGCTTGCCAACCTCATTAGTTGTGCCATCAATGTGTCATTTAAAATCTTATAACTTCCTTAAGCCTTTGAGTACTTCTACTGGGGCCCCTTCCCCCTGGTTCGCTATCAGCCTCCTCTCACAGAATAGTCAGTATTGCCATAGTGATGTCTCATGACCGGTTAGTCCGGCAACACTGTGAAGGAGCCTCCCTCCACGCTGAGCCGTCTGGTGCCCAGCGGTCACAGAACACCAGGGATCATTTTATCCATTTCTCTGCCTGTGGACAGGACATGTCCAAGACATCCAGGCTGAAGGAAATCTCTTCGATTTAAAATATTTCCAGAAACTCCATAACTTCTGTGGGCAACCCAGCTCATACTTAATGAGGAAAACTTCCAGGAGCTTCTAAGAAAAATGACTAATTTTGGCTCTTTTCCAAACTATTACTCCCAATAATTCTGAAGAACATGGGAGATTACAGTCCAACCCATGGAGGGAATAGCTAAATATTCTCAAAACAAAAGTTTTTTAATATCTAGAAATCATTTGTGACAACTTAAAATCAGCCGCAGTTTATGAGGATGAGGGAAGGAGGAAGGGAGCAGGGGGAAGGAGAGAGGGAGGAAGGGAAGATAAAAACCAAAAGAAAATAAATTAGGCAGTGGGTTTTAAAACCCAAAATGCTTTCTTAAAGTTTATTCTGGGACTGTGGAGCTGTCCTAAATGAAAAACTTGAGTATTCTGAGTGTTGAAAGTATAAGACAAGCCCCCTGGCCAGTGACCCCGTCAGCTCTGCAGGCTCCTGAGCTCTTGAGAGAAACGAGGACGGCAGGTGCTCCTTGTTTCCTGCTCAGTGTCTGCCCCTGCTGCTAACACCCTCTAACAAACAGGGCTTTTCTTCGTGAGCCAGTATCTCCTTC